ATATTTGCGTTAACTGCAACACACACGCAGACGACCTGGTTTCTGAGTATAAACCAGCCTTAAGGGTTTCGGTGTCCCAGTAGTTTGAGTAGGAGGAAGGATGAAGAAGTGATGAAGTAACTTAGTTAAAGCTGAGCAATTTCAGCGTTTGCAAATGGACTCAAAAATGTAAATGTTTTATTAATTCAGATACCAATTAGTTTTATAGAAAGAAGCTAACATGGTTTACATGTATGAAATCAATGAGCACAAATGTCTCTGTTGAAGGTGGGTCTGTTTTTCTACATTTTACCTATGCTATAATGCTTTTCCTAATCAAAATCATGCACTATGCGGTATTGTGCTTCATTCACTCAATTCTGCTCTCTGAGCAGCAGCTCTCCACCCTGTCCTGGAAAACATGCTGCTATCACAGTTACGTAGAGCATTGATTACCTCCCTTCTCTTGGAAGCTATAGCCCATTTTTTTAGGTAGTGCAAAAGACAAAATACATGCCTATAGCTGACTTTGGAGGACTTAAAAAAACACGATATAGAACCTTAAATGTTTATGATACAGAGGCTATCTTTCCTAATCATTCTAAGAAGAAAGTGAAACAGGGATGACAGCAGACTTAAGAAAGGGTGAAAAGCCATTTTCATCAAAGCAAAGTTTTCAAGTGATTTACAAGGCATGGGTTACAGTTTAAGGCAGAGCTTTGAGAGCCACCACATATATTTCCGAGACATGAACTGTCACATTCTATGTGTTAAGGTTTTTCTAAACAAAAACAAACTATACTATTATAAACACATAACCTCAGGAAAAAAAAAACAAACAAACAAAAGAAAAACAAAAAAAAACTATATGTGTACCTGTTGCTTAGACATTGATAACCTGTGCTTTATCAGTTTAAATTCAGCGCAGTAATCTGCCTGGAAGGCTTAAAGCCCCTTATAATTTCCATTTTCATTGTCAAGCAGAACTTGGTACCTTTTCTGATTTCAAAACACCCAATTCAGAAACCACTAAGTTTCTTGACTGGCCAGTAAGCCAAAATAAATTTCCTAAGAGGAGCCAAAATTATTACAATTTTCAGAAATATCAATTGAAATATATCAGTCTTTTCATATTTACTCTGATGTGTTTCACTTTATCCAAATTGGCTTAGCAAATGTGGCAGCCAAAAAAAATAAATAAGCATTGAAAATGAACAAAATAGAAAAGAAGTGACAGATTGTGAATTAGGGAGGGGGACTAGATGCAGGCTCCGCCCTCTTGGCCGTGGATTGGTCAGGAGAGCCCAGCTTCCGCGCTGTGATTGGCCAGAATTCTAGTCCACTTTCACAGACGCGATAAAGTTTTTCACTGGAAGCTTGAAGGTAGTAGGCGCAAAACAGGACCTGCCGTGCAGTCCTCTGTGAGTAGATGTTACAGCTGCAACAAACCGGGAATTTATCAGACATGAGTGCGTTTTCAAGCTGCGGGAAACTACAACACATAGTTTTTTCAATGCTTTACCACCAGCGAAGTTTCCTGGATAATTAACTGTGCTGGATGGCTTAAAGTGGGATGGTATAATTTCAAAGACGCACGGGACGACACGCGCTGCACTCCTGCTGGACTGACCATAAACCCACGTGCCTCGGTTTCCAAGGCGACCAAACTAATTGGAGTCTAAGGAGATATTAGTATTAATAACAGTGGGTCTGGTGGTGGGACTTTTTTTTTTTCTTGGGGAAAATGCCTGGTGCGCTCCTGATGATGATGATGGTTGCGCTCTCGCTCCTCTTGGTCTGTCCGCTCTTCTTGGCCATCGACGCGTTCGGCGACGACGAAGAGGAGATGACCTGCGACCCGATCCGGATCAGCATGTGCCAGGGTCTGGGCTACAACGTCACCAAGATGCCCAACCTGGTGGGGAACGTTCTGCAGACGGACGCCGAGCTGCAGCTGACCACGTTCACGCCGCTCATCCAGTACGGCTGCTCCAGCCAGCTCAAGGTACGGACGGCGGCACCAGGCGCGATGCTCTGGTTGGTCTGAGTGGCAGAAGCGGGGCGCGGAATGGGAACCATGCTCACACTTTGGAGCAGCCGCCCCGCTTCTTAAAAAAAGCCTGGCTCCTGCTGAAAGTGGGCTATATTTGTGTGTGCGCGCAAAGGGAGACAGAGTGTGGTCCCAGAGCACATGACAGGGAGCCAGACCACTTGCAATAACTGCCTGTTCTGTGAGCGGCTCAGACTGATGGTGCCAGGAATAATCAGCATGTTAAAGATTGATTTCCAAGCTGTTACAGTAAATGGAAGAGTCGCTTCCCCTTAGTCCTCTTCTTTTTTTTTTTGTCTAGCCAATCTGTCATGTTAATGTCACAGAAAATGCCCCCTGTGTCTGTTGACATTCTGAGTTCATGCCCCACACAGCTGCAGCTGGATCTTTAGTTATATACTGTACGCTCCTCTGGTTAACAATGCTGCCTTTAGTGTCCTAAGACAAATGCTGTTTGTTTGACTCATGCACCGTGCAGAAAAGATGGGACTGATCTCAAAATGCATCTCTCAGATTGGTAGATTGCTAGAAAGTGGTGTTTTTCATTTTTTTTTTTCCTTTATATTTTTTTTGTAATGATGTGAACTGCAGGCTTGGCTTGTCTATGGCTGATGGAAAAATAGGAAAATGCATTAAACTAAAAACTTACTTCAGTTTCAATGTAATAACATCAACATACTTTAGTTAAACATTACTTTGAATAGCTTTTCTTTACAAGACTCCACTAAAATCAAACTTACTACCTTAAAAAACTATAACTAAAAACAAACATCAGAACATTAGGGTCTGAAGATAAAAATAAAAAATAAAAAAAATGACACAGACCAATCTGCAAAAATAACCAGCAGGAATATAGTTTTAATTCAACACTAGTTATCTAGTAACTCAGAGTTGCAGCTTAAAACAATCATTCGATTAAAAATGAGGTTGGCGCTGTCTACTCTGTTGCCTTTATATTTCTACACAAACCTCCAAAAGCTAATCTATTTCCCAGACATCTATCTGGTAATACACATCAGCATTTTTTTTGGAGGAGCATGTGTTTAGAGAAAACTAAAAGCACTTTTCCCTGGAATTGTATTAAAATTAATGTTTTGAATAGAGGAGGACATTTTTTCCCCTGCATATCTTCTGTTATAAAAAAAAAACATTTCAGCTTAAATATAACTGAATCCATAATAGTAAAATGGTTATTTTCTGCAGAACACATTTGCATCCACTGCAGGCTAGAGGACACAGCAGACTAAAATCAACTTGTCTGCCTCCAGTTGTAAGTTTAGATGCTCCCTGTCTTTCACACTCACACACAGCCACAGATGAACACAGATAGTACCACCTAAAGACAGAGGAAGGGGAAGCAGAAACCGTATCACCTAACATTTGCTCTAATGGGAGGCTTCCTGACTGGTAACCTGAGCAGCTTTTAGCATTAAAGTGGCACTGATCAGGTTACAAGCGGTCAGTGGAAAACACCCAGAATGTGTTACATTACTGTCACCAGTTGAGTATGCATAGCCCACTGTGGGAAGGATCAGCAATTGTAAAGCCTGTAATTTTATAGCCCCCCATCAAATTTTGTAAGCTTTTTGTTGAGTGAGCAGACCCACAGACCTTTTCACAGGGAAGGTGACCAGTGATGTCTTTTCAGTCTTAGAACTGGAACCATATCATCAATTTTAGGAAAAATGTCATTAGAGGGATTCAAATTCTGCTGATAGAGGAGACTAACCCAGATGTTGCTCAGAAAATGGTAATGGATTCGGTATTTGAATCCCAAGCCGTGATTTTGACATAATGTGTTTGTCAGCTGTCTGTTTTACAGCAAGTAGTCTCTTTATCAGAAGACAAACTCAATAAAAAGTCTAGCATAATTCAATTTTACAGCAAAAAATAGAGGATTTGTTTCCCAATACTTGCACCTGTTTTGCATTCAGGTCATATTTGGACATTTTTACAAGGGAGAGCGTTTTCCTATTGCTAGCCAAGACTTTGGGCTCTAAGTATGTAACCATTATCTGGACTTAATGTTTTGGGACATTTTTGAGCTAAAAAAAGCAGCAACAAACTTTGACTTAACTTAGTCAAATTGCCAAAGCCCGAGAGGCATTTGCAGTGTTTTTTTTTAGGTCAGTGGAGAGAAACTTACTCGTTGCTCTTTTATGAATTTTCATTTCATGAGCATTGTCCAATTTTACACTCCGATTTGCAGAAGCTTTTCCTCTGCATGCATGAAATCACCTAAAATTTCTGACTTCTGTAACCCCTATGTTGCTTTTCTTTTGCATTACTGCAATCACAGTCATAACGGGCTGCTTAGTGTCTTCAGATGCATGTATGTACGTTCTATTTTTAGTTTCACTTTTTTTTTTTAAGATGCTGCTAAAAAAAGCATGCATATGTTGGCATTTAAGTTCCTTAAATAGAGAGATTCTATACTTATTACTGATTCAGTGGTTCTAAAAAGTAAAAGTGTATGAAAGAAGTAAGTCAGAAAGAGCGGAATGCGACTTGATGCAGGAGCCATGTGGGAGAGCGGGATGTTTCCATCCACTACTTCTTATCTAGGCAATATGAACAGACTGGACCTAGCAACATATTTTAACTGCTACCTCATATGTTAATTAAACAAATAAAGTAAAAAAGCTGTGTTTTTACTGTATCTTTATATAAAAGTTACACCTCTTCTGCATAATGTCTCTTTTTGTAATCTCTCTTGAAGACCATTTTTATGTAACTCTTATTCTGAAGCCTTGGGTATTTGATTTTGCTGTAATTTGCACAATATTACAGTTGTATGTAATCTTTTAGAAACTTGCAACCCATACAAATACTAAGATGTTAAACAAATAACCACTTGTCTTTCTTTGCCTCTAGTTCTTCCTTTGCTCCGTTTATGTGCCAATGTGCACGGATAAAGTCCCCATCCCCATTGGGCCGTGTAAGAGCATGTGTTTGTCCGTCAAGAGAAAATGCCTTCCTGTTCTCCATGAGTTTGGCTTCATATGGCCTGAGGTGAGTGGCATTGTCATGAGGGAAGCGTGCATGTTTTTTTAATTTGGGGGGACGGGGCTTGCAGGATGTGTTTAAAAAGATATTGGTTTCCTCTGACCTGCCTAACGCTGAACAGTGAAAACTAGTTAACATGTTTTTATTTCAATAATTTTTTCCTAGCTTGTATCCTTGTCTAGAGATTGGGAGCAAACATTCTTTATGTGGTTGAAACATTTATACAGCTGACAACTGGGTTTTTAAGTTGAATAGGGCCTTGGGACAGTAAAGTTACATTTATTCAACTCATTCGATGAGTTTATACATTGTTTAAAACAAGTGTTTTTCCAGGATTTCAGTTAAAGTGTAAAACAGCTCCTCGGTTTTAATAGAGTATTTTATAGAAAGCCTAGAATGGATTCTCTTTCACATCCAGGATCCATAATAATACCTAAATTCATCAGGACTCATACACCAGTTTGGAAGTGTGTCAATGGTCATCATGATAGGTGCATGAGTCTGAATGGAAGTAAGGAGGGAGGTAGGAAAAGGAAGCTGGATGCTTCCTTTTGATAGTTCATTTGGCATAGAGAGCTCCTGATGTTGCTATCTGGAGCATAGGACCCATACGTATTCTCACAACCCAATGCATAACAGCAGGTATAGGCACGGCACTTCTCGTGGAATCGAAGAAAAATAAATAATTTCTTCACTTGTATTCTGTGCAATGCTTGCAAATGTACACACCTTCATATGTTTTGGTTTGTCTAAGGGAAAGCTTCAGGCGTTTAACTTGCACTAACAGTAGTTTGTTTTCAGTAGGTTCTTTTTCATCATTAAGCATTTCTGTCGCATAATGTCTTGAAGAGTGAAGTCTTTCCCGATTCAACACATTTGTCTGAAGTTTCTTCCTTTCCTAATAATGATAGAGTTCTTACTGTCGACCCTGCGACAAGTGAAGAAGAAGGAGCTAGGGGGCGACAATTTGCATCATTCAGTTTCAGAGATTGTGCTTATCTGTTTTTTTCCTCTCTATGTTGAGATGTAAGAAATGTTTTCACATCCCAAATTGGTCATTTTTTAACTTGCATTTAAAAGTGTCTTTAGCAAAGAAACAAAGAGCACTTTCTTCATGTTTCCAATTCTGCCGAAACCAGAATCTGATCAGATCTCAAAGGAAGCTGCAAGCATCATTAGCCAAGAAAAGCATGACTGGAGTAACTCAAAAAATGTATTTGTTTAAGGAAATCACTGGGTTGTAATATGCAGCAGTGAGTGCCTCACACTTTTTATTTTCATATATTCTATTCAAAAGTCTTCTTTAAAAAAAAAAAAAAAAGAAGAAGGTTTTGTTTGTTGTTTAGCAAACTTTAAGACAAATGGTTTGGATAAAGTGTAACATTTCCTTTAATATGTCATCAGGAGCTCAACTGCAGCCTCTTCCCACCTCTAAATGACCACAACCACATGTGCATGGAGGGTCCAGGTGATGAAGACCCCCCCTACCAACCTGTCCGCCACCCTCCCCAACAGGAGGAGTGTCAGGCACTGGGCTCTGCACCTGAACAGTACACTTGGCTCAAACAGACTGAAACGTGCGCCCTCCAATGCGGATATGACAGTGGGCTGTACCGACGGGGGGGAAAGGTCTTCACGGACGCCTGGATGGCCGTGTGGGCCGTGCTGTGCTTCCTGTCAACCACTCTGACTGTCCTGACCTTCCTCCTGGACTCGCAGCGTTTCTCATACCCCGAAAGGCCGATCATCTTTCTTTCAATGTGCTGCAATCTGTACAGTGTTGCTTACCTGGTGAGGAATGGAATAAAAAAGCCATGTTTTTTTTTTATTTATATTTTTTATTTCTCTTATTTAATTGGACTACATTTTTTTGGTACATCTGTTTTCCCCTGCCTCTTTAGGTACGGTTGACTCTTGGAAGAGAGCGAGTTTCCTGTGACTTGGATGCCACTGCCGTTCCGATTCTGGTCCAGGAAGGATTAAAAAGCACCGGCTGTGCCATAGTCTTCCTTCTCCTTTATTTCTTTGGCATGGCTTCTTCGCTATGGTTAGTCCAAACACTCCCTTCTCTCTCTTTTTCTCCCAGATATTGACAATTGTCATCAGACCTTGTGAATAACCCAAGTGGTAAAACAATTGGAACTCAAGACTTTCATCCCGTTTCCCTAAAAAAATAAAAAGAGTCCATCTATCCTGTCCCATAACCTCTGCACTAGTTGGAATCAATTCTACACGCATAGAGTAAGGGTAGCCTTGGTAAAACCACCACTTTTTAAGTGCGTGCTGCCCTAAAGCTGCAGTGGAAACCCACACTGCTGTCACAGCTATTTTTCTTCCTTTGCACTCAGCCCTTGTTTTCCTGTTTTGTATTTGCCATTTGGAAAAGCAATGGGCTAGAGATTTTCAACTCCTGAGCTATGATCACTGCACTGTTATATAACAAGCGATCAGCTTCTCTTGTGACCATATTACCTCCAAAAACTGCACAAGGCCAGTTGATTGGTTATGAAAATGTTACATAAAGGGGGAAGTTTTGATTTGCTCCTAAAACGTATGAATGAACAGAAAGAGCTGTGGTTTAGTTGTTACATGTTATAAAGCAAAGTATTTCCTTCAACCCTTTTTTACCATATGCCTTTTATATTTATATTACAGGCAGTAGTGATGTCACATTATGTGTGGGGGAGACTAGATTCTATAAAACGGGTATTTAATGTGTAAAAAAAAAAGAAGACTGCATGTGGAGTTCCCATTTCCAACTGTTTTCAGTAGATTGTTTTAAACTTTAGCCCATCAGCATTATTAACTGTAAATAGCCATCACTGTGTGCTTTCCTTTGACAATGTAGATTTATTTCAAAAAGGCTGCAATCGTTTTTTTTCAAATGGAGCATGTTTTGCATCAAACCGGAGATTGGAAGCAATAAAGATAAAAACAAGTACAAGTACATGACGCCTCCCTGATATTTGCTGTACTCAGTTCCAAGTTAGATAAACCTAATTTAATAATAGCCCAAAATGTTACAAACTTGGCTCTTTGTGACATAAATAGCTAGAGAGCAGTGGCCAGACCTGCATACACCAAAACACCCCAGTAATATCAGCCACAATAAAGACTGCTGTTCACAGCTCAGTCCTGTCGTTCTTGGAGAAAGTTTGTTGGCTGGTCTAGAAATAAAAAAGAAACGTATAAAACTTTCATCCAACAGTCACCAGATGGAGTCTTACAAGCTGAAAATTGAACAGTTCCAGTCATTATGGGACATCTCTCTGCATCTTAATGATAGTTCATTAAGGTCACCAAATACAAGAATAACGTTTCCTTTTGCTCCATGTGCAAAGAACAGCAGCAGAAATTGAAAATGATTATTAACAGTAAACATGGATTTAAGTGGAAAAAACTCTAAAAGGTGGAACGTAAACCAAACAGGATCACTGAGCAGTTTTGTAAAAAAAAAAAAAAAAAGAATAGGTTGCTTTCAGTTGATGTCTGACCCCCTCCCCCTATCTTCCAGGTGGGTGATCCTAACCCTCACCTGGTTTTTGGCTGCTGGGCTGAAATGGGGCCATGAGGCGATTGAAATGCACAGCTCCTACTTCCACATCGCGGCCTGGGCCATCCCAGCTGTTAAAACCATTGTTATCTTAATAATGAGGCTGGTGGACGCTGATGACCTCACTGGGCTGTGTTACGTTGGTAACCAGCAACAAGAGGCCCTCACAGGCTTTGTGGTTGCACCATTAGCGACATACCTTCTTATAGGTAGGTACAGTGCTGGAAAGAAAATTAATTTGGGTCTTTTATCAACTTTACATGAGGCTTTTCTTTTCTTCTCTCTCAGGGACGTTGTTCATCTGCGCAGGCCTGGTGGCTCTTTTCAAGATCCGATCTAATCTGCAGAAGGATGGAGCTAAAACCGACAAACTGGAGCGTCTAATGGTGAAGATCGGCGTGTTCTCCGTTCTTTATACCGTTCCTGCTTCCACAGTCATCGGCTGTTACCTCTACCAGCTCTCTAACTGGGAGGAGTTCAAGACCAACCCCAGGGACTCATACGTAGCATCGGAGATGCTTCGGATCTTCATGTCGCTGCTGGTGGGCATCACGTCAGGGATGTGGATATGGTCCGCGAAAACCCTCCACACCTGGCAGCGCTGCTCTGCCCGGCTGCTGAGGGACAGCCGGGCGAGCCGAGTCGGCAAGAGGGCGCCGGGTGAGAGCTGGATCAAACCGGGGAAGGGCAACGAGACAGTGGTGTGAGCAAATGGAGAACACGGACAGGAAATACGTTCTGCATTGTTTCTCCTCATACAGACACTTGCCCTGCTAAATGAAGGACGAAGAGAGTCAGCGGGCGGGTTAGGAAGGGGACAGAGGATCATAGCCAGACCTTTTCAAAGAAGCCACTGGATATGCCATCGCATGAACTCCCTGCCTCAAATAGGAGCTATGAAGGAGAAAATAAGAAGACTGAGTCATACATTTTGTTGCAAGAGTAGCCTCCCTACCTCTCATTAGATCACTGTTGCATAGAGAGTTGGGAAAAAATATTGAACTGAAAAAGAGATACGGAATGGAAGAAAAGAAGCACATAAAAGCTCTGGTTCTACCTCTCTGTTTCTCTTTTTCTTAACTGCTCAGCAGAAGAGACTCACCCTGCTGAATATAGTAAAGCTGTGTGCCATTGTGACTTTTAAAGGGCTTTCAGAGTTTTATATTATGACACTGGAGCAGATATAGAAATATTTGGTTTCCCTGAGATATTTGACAACAGCTGAAAAATGTATCTGCAGTTCAATCAAACAAGAATACCACGCTAAATGTTGTGATATCTCAACATACTTCATTCAATCTACCACTCATTGACAGATGAACATTCTGCATCTGTCAGATTGTATGTTTTAGTGTATATGAGTACAAGTTTATTTTATTTTTTTTTTTTACCTTGAACTGATCAGAAAGAGGCTCTATGCTTCAATAGTGCACTAAAAATGATTGTAAAATGTGAGCTCCAAAGTAGAAGGTCTAAAAAGAAACACAGAATTCAAAGTTATGTCTATTTAGCATTTTAAAGGAGTAGTTCAGATTGTTTTTTTAAACCAAAAGGTTAAAGCTGGTTGTAATCTACGCCTATAAACAGCCTCTTAGATCTACGTTTTATTTAGCTGGTCCAGGAGGCTGAAGCTAACGGCTAATCTGGAAAACTTAATCCAAACAGACTGAAAACAAGATTAATCTAAAACCCATCGAGTTGGTTCAAGTAAGGAAACTTTAAAGCATCTTGACTTAACTCCAGTGTTTTTAAATGTTCTGTTCTCCATATTTTCGGCAATGTTTGCTAAATATTCTTCCACTCCAATTACAAATCGGTCAGTAGTCTAAGATTTATCAGAGAGGATTTCAATAAACTCCCATTTTGAGGCTCTGCATGGTTTGGTTCAACAGGCTAGCCATTAAAATTACATGGTCTAAGCAAGCAGATTTGGTTTTTTTAAATAACAAGAAGCCTATCCATGCAGGGTAGATAATAGTTGCTTCAATGTTTTTAATAGAACCTCGCTTAGAAAATATTCTGAACTCAACTCTTATCCGTGTTGCTTTTTAGAAAGTTTTAGCATTTATTTTAAAATGATCTAAAGATTCCCACAAATGCAGTAAAATATCAATTCTGATTGATCTACTTTGGCTTTTTTTTCTTTTCTTCTCTTCTTTTCTTTCTTTTTATGCTTAAATTGCAGAGAAATAAGCCTGTGTTTGTTTTAGGAAGTCTGTGAGAAGCTAAGCTAGCTTCTAATTAGATGTTTAGTCTTCCTGCAAACCCTACACTCCTTATGCTCTTGGGTCACCATGCATTTCAGGAAATTTAATAATTAACCCTGCCCTTTTCTAAACATTGGATCTCAGGCAGGTTATCAAACAAAAACGTTATGGGACATTTGGCTGCCAAAATACACATCGGGCATCATCAAGAAACAGTCAGAGAATAATCTTTTGTGCATGAAAGAGTAGTTTTACTAAAGTTTTAATATTGAACTTATTTTTTTTTAGAGGCCATTCATTGTAAGGCTAGATTGACACTGCTGTTCCTTACAGATACATCAATTATGGTGCAACCGATTCAATAACCCTCTTCTTCAACAAAAAGCTTACTTTTTATCAACTTGTTTAATTTAATTTTATTACTAACATCACAGAGGTAGCACACTGTGTGAGTAAATACCCCCCCTCCTAATGTTATGTTGCCTTCCAATATGTCTTATTGACATTTATATGTCACAACTCACTTTCTCAGACAATCAGAAGTCCTCTGTGAAAAAGTTTTTATTTTTTATACGTTTGCAAATTGTGAAAAAGTGTTCAATCCCCCATTGGATTCCAAAATTCACGATTTTAAAGGATTGTGTCCTTTAGATGCTGCTGAAACTGTCTCTTCTTACTCCGTAAAAATTAAAAAAATATCCACTGGACTTGGTTGAATGTTGAAACATTTGAATTGAGAAAGCTTCCTGGAGAGGTGGCGAAACGTCTTCAAATCTTGAAAACCAAGTCCAGTGGATATTTTTTGAATTTTTACGGAATGACTATGACCTGGATGACTGAGAACCTTCATCAGCATACTGTCTCTTCTTACCTGCCTGGCAGTACGTTTAGTAATTTTGCATCCATTTATTCCTATTATACCGTAAGTAGAGGTTATAAAAAGATGTTGATGTCCAGATGGTGCCTTAATAGCCTCTGGTAGAAGAAAAAATAGGTATTTTTTGCTCCAAAGATACATTCAGGAACAATCGTTGTGGTGAATCTGATACGGTTTAAACAGACCAGCATCGTCGGACCAGCATACCTCAGGACACTTATTAAATTTCCAAAGTCAAACAAACATTAGATTCACTTAAAGTGAATTAAATTAACCTGAGACCACCTCCCCTCTGAGCTAATGTAGTTTTCCTCTTAAACTGTTTTTTGGAAGCAGCCCCATTTATTCTTATGACTGCTCTGAGCTTAAAGTGGCATTTCTAAACAGTCATTGAATGTGCCTTAAACCCAGCCCCCCACTAAACTTTAACCCCTGGGTGGTGCAGATTTGTAAATCCTTTTAGAAACCAACTAGTGAATCACCACAGAGCTCAGCCAGTCCAGATAATTGCCTTTAAGGTTTGAAACTGCTCCCTGTTGTGTTGAACACTCATGTTCTTGGAAATGTCATTGATGTATTATAAAATGCTAATTTATCATTGTAAGAAAATGTGACAAAAAAAAAATAATTAATTTAAAAAAAAAACTTTTGTATCAGAAGAAAATGAATAAAAAGTTTTTGGTTTCTAACTTGTCTATGCTTTACATGTGAGTTTTGATGTTTAATCATAAATGCTCTAAAGCAAACAGCAAATTCTATATTAAATAATTAAGACGGATAATTTTGAGATGCGAAATGTTCTTATTATGGATGTTATTTTGTGTGTCTTGGCAAAGGAAAGGTCAAGATTTGAGTTGAGACCTCTGAGCCTCCTAAAAGCCACCCTAAGGCATGTATACACAGCAAGTACATGAATTAGAGACGGGATTTATGTTTTGACACATTTGTTGGACTTATTTCACAATCTGGGTTAGACAATGCTGCCACCTCTTGTCTTAGAAGAAAAATTAGGTTTGACACCTCATAAAGCAGTTTAACAAGGCTACCAAGACACAAATCCTTAAATACACCTATTTTCTGTTTGTAAAAAATACTGTATTGAAGAAATAACTAGTTTTAACACAGAAATGATAGCTCAAATTGTTTTTCAATTCAGCTTCTTTATACAGCGCCAATTCAAAACACATCATCTCAAGACACTTTACAGACTATTATTATTTTTGTGCAATATTTGTACTCGGGACCTGCTCTTTTTGTACTATTATATATTATTGTAGCATGGCATGGAGTAGATCACCCTGAATGATATCAGGTACTGGCAGTCTTTGCAGTCTTATCAGATGTCAAGTCCTGTTAAAAAATGAATCCATACAGATTTCCATTTTCAGGAAATAATGTCTTGGTAGCCATGTTGGATTTCCAAATCCTCCCTTACTGTAAACTTTCAGGTCATACCACTTAAATTTTCAATCTTTACCCAACATTTCATTGGTATTTAAATAATGAAAAAAAACTTTATCCATTTCTTATGCTGTGAATGAGAGCTTGTGCAACACAAAGCAGCCTGACAGTCATTGAAAACAGAGACAAAATGTGCAAACATACATGCATCCAACCATTTAGGAGAATTTCATGTTTGTAATTATTCTAGTTTAAATTTATGCACAAGGAAATCCAAAGTGCTATATAGGACAAAGGAAGGACAAAATAAAAATGATAAAACATAAATATAAAAGTATCTTTTGTTAAATTGATTATGGGAAAATACAAATATTAGAGGGAAAAACCAAACAATATATGAAAAAATATATAAAATATATAAAGATTGTTTGAACAAAGCTGGAAATGAAAAACTTCTCAGACCTGATTTACAGGAACTCACAGTTTCTGCATATATTAGTTGTTCTGGGACTCTCAGAGCTGAGAAGCAAAAGATACGTATAAATCCTGACCTCAACTAGTTTACTTCAGTTCCTGGGAACACATGTTTCTACAGACCGGAGGGATCTATGTGGTTTGATTTGAGAAGCCATTCAGAAATTATATGACTCTCTTGCTGCAAGTAAGCTACACAGAAACTATTGTTGACCGGTTATACTCTAAAGATATATCTGTTCTAAAATGTCAGTTTATTTAACATGCCTTTGAATGTGATTAGAAAACTCCAAGTACACATCTGAAATGCTGAATTTCAGATTTGCTATTGAAATATATATATTTTTGATACTGCACAAGCTTTACTCTGTTTCCATTAACATTACAATTTCTGCACAGATTAAACTTGCTAAAAATTCAAAGTTAGGTATCATTCTGCAGAAAGGCTTACTAACAGTTAGGACATACAGGTATAATTTTTTATCTTTCATATGCATCAATGTGGGTGCATGTGTGTATGAATGTCTATGTGATTGTGTGTGTAAGTAGAGAAGATGAGGCAAAGCGTCCAAATATGTAACTGTGCAGCTCCAGTTGCCTTCCTGTAATTTTCAGAGTGAATTGAGTGTTTGTTTAAGAGCGCGCTCAAAAGCCTGAGGTAAAGGGAAAGTGACAGCATCTACAGCTCTATTGTTTCCAGATGTGGCTGTACTAACACACACAACGCTCTAAAACACAACCTTCCAACTCACATGCAAACACGCACGCAGATAGCGCTGTACCATTTCCAAACTACACCCTACATAGAGTTGTTTTTAGATCATCTTTATGTGTTTGCATTTATTAATGTGGGTTCAAACTGTTTTTACCAGAGAATACCACAGGTCATTTCCATCCCTAAGCTTCTCCATCGGGGCGGCGTTTGTACATTTCTGTGGTTGGTTACACACACACACAAATCTTTAACAGCTAACAGCTCAAGCTGAATGCAGATTTTCCATCCCTAAAATTACTTAACAATTACAATCAAACATACCAATAAATGACAGCTTTACAGCACAACCTCTGGATTTTATGGTCTGGTTTCAACACATCCAGATCATTCTCTATAAAAACACACATCAGCAATGCTGATTCGTTCTTCCACATCAGTTGTTTTTAAAGCCTAAATGTAAAAAACTGCTATTACAATTAATTGGAGTTACATTCTCTGCATCTAAATGCATCTTCAGACCTGGGCAGCTTTGTGTGAACTTGTTTCATACTTTGCCAGGTGTGTGCATACTAAAAGTGTGCTAAGAGATTTGAGCAGAGTTTAAGATGGAGGGGGGAAAAAAATGAATGAGCACCCAGGAAAAAAAAAAAAAGTTTAGGAAATACAAGAGCTGAAGAGAAAAAAAATCAAGCACTGGGGTACATAAAAATGAATTGAGTGAGAAACAAAGGGAGAAAAGGAAATCTCTCATCATCCAACAGCAGAATGTTGCAGCTGTTCCCCTTTAGAAATGTTGAAATCACCCCCGTTATGCTGAGTGAATATGTTGTATGGATATTCTGGAGCAATGGCCACCACTGGGGGATTCTGGGTGACGTAGTTGTCTTGGCCTGAGAGCCAGTGCCTTGCAAGGAGGATTTGAAAATGTTGGTTCTCGGGCCAAACATGTTAACGAGCTGAGACCAAACTCCAATAAGCCCAGCCAAGAGAGAGATTAGAGAATTAGCCGCCATAAAGTTAAAACAAAAGGTCCTTTCTGCTTGGCGGGACGTGGAGGGCTGAGATTACTCTGTCCAAGACAAAGACAGCTCAGTTTTTAAGGTCAGGTTGGATTTCAAGAGATGTTTGGATGTGTTTTGATAAGATGGGTGCAATGATCATTAATCGTTACACTGGAGGATACAGATACTAGTTTTGAAGAGTCTAGAAAATTCATTTTTACGTTTGACAAGTTCTAGTTTTTCAGCTTTTGTTCTTTTCTTTCCTCAGTGAATAAAAGAACAAAACAAAAAAAACATTAAAGTCTTCTGATATCTTAAATAACTGCAGATATTCCTTCAGTTTAGGTAGCCCCTTCCCCTTACCCATCATTCTTAGCTCTAACCAACCTCTTTAATAGTTCGGAGGTCTGATGCTGAAGAACTAATTTATCCAGATCAGATATTTTCAGGGGAACATTTGGGGATGGAGCAATAGATTTTCAACATCCTTTTTCGCTATGATTTTTTTTTTTTTAAACTTTCCTGTGTGCAGTTGCAGTTAGCGTTGTTTCTTTTAACTATGACATGTTGCTTTTTTAAATCTTTGATTTTTTTTACCTGTATGATGTCCTTGAGTGTTTTAAAAGCCGCTTAAAATGCATTATTATTATTATCATCATCAAATACATTCATAAAAGGTTTTCTTTTTTCTATAAAAACATGGTAACTGTGCAACAACTGCTATTATGTCTAATACTGCTCCATATGACCGGTGAAAAGTCATGTTGTCCCTTTTTTGGATTACTAAAAAAAAGAAAGAGATGGTGTTTCTAAAATAAGGACATCAGTTTTTAGTTTGATTGGTATCATAGTACTTTCTTTAACATCAGAATATAATTTGCTCTACAATATATCTTTCCAGGAACAAAAATATAAAATAAATTAACGTTTGTTTTTATTAGGGCCCCCCCCCCTTTTTCTAAAACTGCAGAATGATAAGAAATCAGCAAGAATCCTCAATGAGTTTTTTTTAAATCAGAGTAATATGTCTAACCATGACTAATGATAACTTTATAAAATATATATATATACTTAACTCACTACAATTTCACTTCTAAGGGAATTAATAAAAAAAAAAATCCAAAATTTTTTTTTGGAAGGAAAATCATGCCAATATAGAACATATTTAAATTTTTATTGTTTTGATTTTAATTTTTTTTTTTTAGTTTGCTTGATTTTTTTTCTATGTAAAAAAAAAATC